CCCCAGTGAGCCAGGCTGTCCTCACCCCCCTCCCCATCCCGTTTCAGGAGTACTACCAAGAGATGTAAAGACAAGCACCTGGAGGAGGCTCTCAAGCTGTCGCGGGTGCTGAGCAAGGGTCTGCAGGCGCTGGGTGAGGCAGAGGTACAGCCCCTGCTCCGCTGCGTCCTGGCTTTCCAGATGGAGGCAACCAGCAGCTCCAGTTCCTTCCAGAAACTGGAACAGGTCTGTAACAACCAGCTGGGCTGCAGCTTCAGAGCAGCTATCGGCCAGAAGTGTAAGCGGTGGTCTCACCCGGCTCTCACCCAGCTCTGCCTGCTGCCGGCGCGGTGCATCGTTACCGGCAAAGCGGCCATGGTGACGCCGCAGAGCTCCCCTAAAAGGGCTCTGCAGCTGGTATCTCTTGGGGGTCTGGGCAGACCGGTGGACTCGGGGTGTCTCTTGGCAGATCGTGACCCAGCTGGCGGTGGGGAAGGAAGACTTGCTGGCCCGGGAGGTGGGCGTGCTGCTGGCCGGCCTGGCACTGCAGGGAGAGGTGAGAGCACCGCGGTTGTGCGGTGGCACCGGCTTTCGTGGGGGCTTGGCTGGAGCCCATGTGCAACAGGGACCTCCTGGTTTGGGCTGCCTGGGATCCTTTGCTTCTCTTCCCACTGTGCTGAGGGCTTGCCGTTGCTTGCAGCCAGTGACATGCGGCTGCCTGTCACAGCAGCCCTTTGCTCGTCGCCGGGACCGCTTCTGGCGCAGGCGGGACCCTCCTCCCCAAGGCACTGATCCCCAGCATGTCATTACATGGCACGAACTGTCCTTCTGCCCTGCAGGTGCTGTCTCCTGAGGACCTTCAGTCAGGTCAGTCTCTGGTCCTTCCCCTCTGGGGGCTTCTCCCAGTCCACACCACCAACACACGGAACACCCCCTGTCCACCCAGACTGTGTTCTCTGTGCTTGTGGGAGGGGGAGCAGGGATCAGACGGATCCGTGGGATCTCTGCAGAGGTCCCCGCAGCTCACAATGGCTCTGCCCACCCGCCTGGGATGGCTGGAAACTGGACAAGCCAAAGCATCCCTGCCCCCCAGCCCTGTTCTTACCGCGCTCACTGGCAACACAGCCCTTGGTTTAACCAGGAGCAGGGCCGGCTGCGTGCACAGTGCTGGGAGCTGATGGCGTCCCCTTGCCCACAGTGTGCATGTTCATGGAGGAGAGCCGCCCGGGCCGGCAGCACTGGCGACAGAACCTGGCCCCGCTGCTGCAGTGCCTGGCCACCACCTTGCACTGGGTGCTGCCGAGCCAGCCCGCACCCCG